CATTACAATTCTCTACATATAGAGATTTCAAACCTCTTACAGTGACTGTGTGTTCAAGGATTTTTTCCCATTACAGAAATTTACCGCGAATATATTTTGGGCATCATGGGTGGGAGAGGGGGGGGGGGTGAATAAGTGTCACTTGAAAACGTTCAAAAATATGAAAAGTAGCGCCTTCACTACGCAAGAGCTATGAGAAGAAAAGTGAATGCCCTTGTAGCAGCGTCGATTCAACACTTGGGAAAAAAATTAATGATGACGAGTGACACTTCCAGTAATGGGCGTGGGTCAAAAGAGGGCGTGTCGCGCGATAAATATTTGTAACTTAACTCCATTATCGCTAAGAGACCATCCGGTTTTCAAAAAAGTCCAGAACCATTATTTTACAGAAGCTTTTTAGATATAAAGAAACTATCTCCTTTTTCGACGCCCAGAATTTTTTCAAAAATTTTGCAAACATTTTTTATGCGCAATTAGTGTTCTTTCCTCCCTTTATTCGCCTCTCTCCCCCCCCCCTCCCCCCTTCCCTCGCCATGATGCCCAAAATATATTCGCGGTAAATTTCTGTGATGGGAAAAAATCCTTGAACACACATTCAATGTTAGAGGTTTGAAATCTCTATACGTAATGAAACGTTGCGCCTATGCAAAAAACGTGAAATTGCGGGAAACTGCGCGGCTCCCGCAGCGAAAGAGTTTGCAAATCTAGCGCCTTAACGATTAGTGGTTCACTAGTTACGTCATAGAAATATCGTGCAACAGAAAAACAGGGTGACTAATGTAAACTGGATTGTATTTTTGCATGGTTGCAAAGAATTAGTGATTTGCAAGCATGATTTTGATTTACACAATATTTTAAATGAAGAAAAGAAAACAAAGAACTACAGGCCTGTGAAAGCTAAGCTGATGAAAATGTAATCTGTTAGTGGACAAAAGAGATTGAATTTCGTTTATCCTAACAGAAGGATTAAGTTAGCAATTATGATGAAATCTAAAAAAAAGTGGAAAACAGGAAATGCAAGCATCCTGAATGCAGACACAGCACAATTCATATTGGACTAGCAAGAACTCAAATAATTTCTTCCGCCTCAAGAGTAGAAATCAAGGAACAAGGATTTAAGGTTTATGGGGAAAAATGGCTGTTTCTGGAAAGGAGTCAAACCAGAAGATGAGCCAGCCAGAATAGATTCTCATGGTCAGGGAAAAGAGCAAGAAGTGCCTTGCATACATAGGCGCAGCGAAGGTCAAAAAAGGTCAACATTTTGTTGGGCACCCGATGAAGCAAACATTGACCAAATCTGGTATCTACAGGTTCTGAGGGACCACGAGAGGGGACGCAAAGGGGGGGGGGAGGAGGTAGCGGGCTGGCAGAAGAGGAAGTGAAAAGAAAAGAAATAATGCAATTCGTAATGTGGCACATCCAAGGCCTTCTCAAAAAAAGTAAATTTTTGCAGATAAGAGATTTGAAGCGGATGATTTATACACAAATAAAATTGTATAGCTTTGTAAAATTCGAATTCAGAAGGGCATGCCAATCAGGCTAATCGCCAGCTGCACTTCTTATCTAACTTCTTGGTGAACAAAGCATGCAAAGTGCAAGCCGCCTGTAGTTCGTGACGAAACTACGCAACAAAAGCAACAAAAAAATTACGAAAAAAATTTTAAAAAAAAGAGAGAAGAGGATGGAAAGTTATACTATAGCCTTGCCTTTTTTTCTAAAAAGCCTACTCTACGATAGAAAAAAGGGGATTAAAAACAGCAAATGTCGAAATTGGCGAGTCATAAAAAATTTTTAGAACTTGCCGCCCCCATGAGGGCCTCCTAGGAAACTTTAAGACATCGTTTATCTTGCCAGACGTCACTTTCGATCCCAAATGGCTGTATACTCGTGCAAGTTGTTAAAAGTTACGATAACGAGCCGTTTCGATCCGACTGCAAAGCAAATAGCGGACATCAAAAGGAGCCGCGCGAACTTTTGCAGCGCCTAGTAAGCAACTCCGCTAAGGGAGCGGGGGGGGGGGAAGAAAGGAGAGCGACTGCAGTTCTGATGCAAAGTGGGCTTGTGAACTATCCCTAACTTTGACATTCAACGGCGATAATTTTTCTGCTTTGGGGTTTCATTGCCATTCTAAGTAAAAAATGAAAGCAAAGTGTTCTAAGAGGGGAACAAAAATTCAAAAAATTCAAAACTTTACCACAAAAATCGAACACATCCGCACCGACATAACTATTGACTAGCTTTTAAGCTGAAAGGAAGCAGATGATCACTATAGAAAAAAAAGGAAGAGCGATGGGGTGAAGAAAAATGCAAAAAAGATATTAATGCCTACGTGACGTTGAAATGAAAAGTATTTAGCTTAGAGAACAGAAGTCTTACATGGGGAGATGGAATGGCAAAAGGGAGAGAATTCTTCAGGATTGTCCGCTGCATGACTCTAGTCCTCTCCCCCCTCCCCTTTTAGAGTGTGTTTGGTTTTAGAAGTCGACGAAGTTATACAAGGGAAGGTGGAATGGAAAAAGAGGGAAATAATTCTTCGAAAATTTTCAGTTCCAGTCCTATCCTTCTCCCTTCTCAAAAACAAGTTTGAAATGTTGTAGAAGTTGTCGAGATAAACGATAAGCTATGCCACTGATTTTCAACGTTGAAGATTGAGTTGATTTTTAAAAAACTGAGATTCCTAACCTTAGCTCTGAAGAGATTTGTGAGCTACCTTTACTCCTTTTCGGAAAATTTTGGAGTTTGAAGCTAAGGAAGTTCCGAAAAAGTGCTTGAAATCTGTTTTGGAGGATGTGGCGGTCTTCATATGGTAAAGTTATACTAGAAAATCAAAAAATGGATTAGTCATGATTTCCGACCGCAGGTCTAGCAATGAGTTTCAAACCAGCTCATGCGTAGTCTCATCTCAATCGCCCAAAAAATACGGCGAAGTTCGCATTGCGAAGGCCATTTGGGTTTACATGACCTCAACTTCCCATATCTCAGATTTCATGCATAATTTCAATCACAAGGTCGAACTGAGGAATTTGGGATTACGAAAGTTCTTATGAATTCTCCGATAAATGATGACTTCTTACGATGAAGGAAAAAACGCTGGTACAGTTGCTATCCCTATGAGTCTACAGAGTTTCTCTCCTCCTTTTTGTCTCTCCTCCTCCCCCCCCCCCCCTGTTTTTCCCTCCACCTTCCCACCAGACCCCCTCTAATTTCATAGCATGAGATGCGAACTTGTCCAAATAAAGAGAAACATACTGCTTACCTTATAAATAGCCCCTGCAACTCTCAACTTGATAAAATTGCGGAGTTCAAAGCGATTAATTCATTTGTTTTAAAAAAAGTTACCCTACCTTTAAAAAACAAAAAAGTGCCAAGAAAGTTTGTGTACGATGAAATGCAATTGAAGCCATTTTGCAGAGTCATTGTCGAGTCATTTAAATACTAAAAAGTGATCTCTCTCCATCACCTTTTTCGTGGGATGCGTAAGGCATTTCTCATCGAATTCGACTAATACGTATGATGATAATGTCATAAAATAAGTATCAGAGACTGCTTCTGCAAAAGGTTGCAAAAGAAAAGATCACGTTTTTCTCTTCATGTGAATCAGAGGTAAAAATTCTTCTGTATTAGCGAAAACTAAACTAAACAAAAATTTTTAGCAAAGGAAAATATTTGGGGACTAGAAAGTATGCATCCCTAATTTCCTGAGCTTTGCGAGTTTTGGATGGCTATTACCTATTACACACTTCGCCAGATTTTCACTTACAAAACCACAAAACATCCGCTACTATGAAAAGGGGAATTTTAAACAGGGCTCGGCACGAGGTGGCTAGATGAAAATGGAAAAAAACGAAGTCCCCCTTGACTTTTGGGAATTTTTACGAAGTCCCCTTTGACATTCAACCAAATTTCCCTAAAAACCTGAAAAATTCCCCCAAAATCCCCCAAAAAACGAAACGTCGACTAAAAGAAAAGGTCGCCGTCGCCAATTTTCCGTGTCTCTTCGGTCACAAAAACGAAACCCCCTTTGCTTTTCGTCCCAAAAACGATATCCAGTTTGCTTGTAAGCCACCTCGTGCCGAGCCCTGATTTTAAAAATGTTTAGTCTTAAAAAAAGCACCAAAAGCCTACGTCGCTGGAAGCAATGAAGTGATTTGAGTGTTAAATGGCTTTTTTATTGGACCAGAATATACCAAGTCCAGCATCAAAAGCTCGCATAGATACTGGAAACAGACATGACCGGTAAATTCTTCTATACAAGTCTCAACCAAAAGATTTTGCTAGACTCTTCAAGATCCCTGCCAATCAAAACAAAGCATTGTGCAAATTCGCTTTCTTCCAACAGCGGATCGAGCGTAAAAATTCTTTTGCACTTTGGCTAACTGCCAAGTTTGCAGAGCTATATCTTGCTGTAGTGACACTTAGCTTATTATTTCCCTCAGTGTCAAATAAAAACCATATAAGTTTGGATTATTAGAGCATATTATTTGGAACTGCATAAGTATTGTATCTGTATTGTCTAATTCTATATGAACGGAAAAGTATAAGAAGTGTATGGTTTGAATGTGTTAACTATGTGTTTCTATTAGCTTTGGATCATATTTGACTTTTGAAAAATTTACTCTAAAATAGCGCTAAATGGTTAGTAAACAGAATCAACTACGAAATAGATAATTGCATTAATTTTAGAGCTTATTTTTCGAATTTTGGAAACTAGGAAATTTTTTAAAGGAAAACCTTTCGTGTGAGGGACACAATGTGTTGCGACAATCATTACTAAAGTATTACAATACAATCTCAATGAATGAGGTTCTTGTCGTATAGAGGTGTGTACTGTACTGATAGTTACAGTGTTTTTAAAAAGTACCTCTTCAAAGCGCTTTACATTCGAAGACCCATGGCGTCCACTTCGTGGTCCATGGTAAATCTGTTGGGTATATTTACGTTGTATGCGTGTTTTCTGAAGTATCAAACACATAAGTGTGTCTTAAGTGTCGCTCCAGGCTATCTACGACTGTTGCGAACATCGAGGACAACAAGGTCATGCATATGGTGAGCTTATTTTACCCATAGGGAGTCTGGTCAGAACTAGGTTGGGAACAGCAACCGTCGGCATCGGTTCCCACGCGTCATTGTCATAAAAGCAACGGCAGCAGATTCCTGGGTGTCCTCTATTTTGCTTGTCAAATTGGACTTGTATGCTTTTGCGTACTACTGCGTATCTAACAAGCAATTTCCACAGAAAACTTGATAAGGTGAGTTTTTGAGTAATTTGTGTTATCTTTTTCTCTGGGGTTATTTGCTGTTGATGCATTTGAGAAACATTTTTCAGGATTTTTCGTTCTGTACTGTACATCCACTGACATGTACCACAGCGAAGGTAACATTCCTGCAAGTGTCAGGGTAAGCTTGTTTCTTCTGCTATTTTTGCCTTATTTCTCATTCATCTCTACTTTCTTTTGTTCCTGAACTCATTATTACAGAATGTTTGCCAAACTCCTGTAGCACCAATGACAACAAAGACACCTTCATGGAATCGAACAATTGAACGCTGCCGTGTTGGAGAGGTAACCCTAGACATATCATATCTGAAGCATAGGGGAATTCTGAACGGGAGAGACTAAAATCTAAATTTTTGATGAAATAATTCTAAGGTTCTACCTTTTGAAAAGTAGTGGTCTTCATCATGAAAATCTTTAGCGCAAACAAGACTCTTTCCTTATACGAATCACCTGGAGTGGAGATTGCTATAGATCTTCCTAATCTTTAGATGCCTTCAAATACCTCTTCGGAGACGCGTTTTTTGAATTTATAACTGGTACAAATTTTTTTCTTGTAAGTCTTACTCCTCCACTTTTTGAACGGTTGCATTACAACCTAGGGTCACACAAAAACTTTACGTACATCATACGTAATTACTCAATTATATCAAAGCAAGTCTTACTTGCGTCCGAAATTACCATTTTGTGTCTTCATACTCGACGTATTTCTCCGCAAGATATCCTCTAGTTACTAGAATTAACAAGGGTATACTTTAACAAACACCTTAAAAGAAGGGGTGAAGATACTTGTATCGTTACAAAATGATAAAATCTCAACTCATGCAAATTAAAAAGAAGCAGGAAAAAGAGAGACTGGCATCGAAATGTTTTCTTCAAAGCTGTTGATAACTATTTATTTTTTGGAATTCACTGAAAGCTGAATTTATTATTCAATTTAGCTATTTATTCAGGCGTATAAAAGGTGCGCAAATAAGAAAAACGCAGAAGATTGTCAAAGAAATAATCAGTTCTAGTAATCAACTAATAATCAATTAGTTTGAATTTAGTCGATTTATGGTTATAAATTGATTTTATATTTTTCAGGCCCAAGTACACAGAACACCAGTGATGGGACTCAAAGCCGAGGCTCGTCGTCTCAACTATGTGAAAAATAAGCATGCGATCAAAAGAAGGCAATCGTGTATGTCTCGGCGATCCATACACAAAAAGAGGAATTGGTTCATAAAGAGGTCGAAAACTTTCAAAAACTTCTATGAACATTCGAGGGATACCCCCAGAACTGGAAATCACTGGGCCAAAGTCATTATTAATCGCCTTTCGTTCAACAAGTTGTTTAAGAAACGACCTTCTACTTAACGCATGTAGATTAGAACTGTAACTATTGAGATATATGTTTATTGTTTTGATTCATACTATTCACTGTACCATCATTGCATCCCTAATAAGTTGTGATAATTAGATATATATTTCACGTTTTGTTTAGCGTTGTATTTATTCATGCGAGGAAGATTTGTTCTAAAATTGTAGTAGAAGTGCTAGAGAGGGATAAAAAGCTTGCCTAACATAAGTTTCAGAAATTCGTTTATGTACTCCTTGAATCAACTGGCTTGTCGGCTGGAAGGCGGGGCTTCGTGACCTAATTAAGGCTGGATAATGATCAAAGAGCACGCGCGCGAGAGAGACGCAGACTGCGTAACGGGCGCGAGCGGCTTCAATTAGGTCACAGAGCCCCGCCTCAGCCGCCACTCCAGTTGAATCAAAGGTTATTTATCGACTGATTTGAACAGTAAAGGGTGTACCACTTGCACAAATCTACTATGCAGATTGATTTTCAGTCCTGACAATCGATTTCTTCTTTATTTTGCTTTTTAAAGTTTGTTAAGAGATAGTAAAAAACATTGGATTTTATAGAAACCTCTGAACAATTTATTTGCTACGAAATCCTAGCAGGTAAAATTACATTTCCATTCTAGTCGCGTCATTATCTCGCTTGATTTTATGCCTTGCTGCCCTACGGACTAGAAATTTCTCCTTGTACTTAGGAAATCTAGACTCGACAAAAGCGTCTTGTCTAGATTTCCAAGACTCTACCAGAAGTCAAGCGACTTTTTATATCCTTCTAATTGCGTTCGAAGCATATTTTTAGTGGGTTAACGACAGGCAATAGAATAACTTGCCTATAATTATCTAATTAAAACTCATGTCTACAAGAATGCTATAATTTCTCGTATAAAATGCGGGAAGCGTCCTAGTTCTGGCGCATTGGCAGGTCTCCTTTATCCAATCATTTCCTTCTGTCTTTGAACCCTACGAACTTTATTGAAATTGTTTTGGCATGAAAAACCATAGGCATTTTCATAGTTTTGCCATAAGTATGGAATGGGGTTAAAATCAGTCCCGGGTAAGCTTTAATTCGACTGGATTGGCGGCAGGAAGGCGGGGCTTTGTGGCCTAACTGAGGCCTCGTGCCCGCAACGCAGCCTGCGTCCCTCCTGCGCACGTGCTCTCTGATCATTCCCTAACCTTAGCTACTATTATTCTATGAACTATAGTGCTACCAAAAGCACACAGTGTAGTCTGAAAAGTTCTTGGAGAGGGGGGGGGGAGGGAGGACAGTCGTGACAGACATTTACCTGAAGAAGGGGCGTGTTTCTACCCACGCCCACCAAAATTTATATTGGGTTACTTTTCTGCGCATCTACAACCCGAAATCTCAAAAAGAGGCTAGGCAGCAATTACATTTCTAAGGACGTTTTTTACAAAGCTAAATTGTAGAAAATCTAAATATGTTTCATTTATCCACAAGTGAAAGTAAAGTATTTGCACAATCCAACAGTTCGTATAGAATTACTCACAAACATCCCCCAGATCTTGCTCTTGGACTTATAAGGCATTCGAAAAGTCGTGACGATGGCGTGACCGCGAGCGACATGCACGCCTCTTCCAAAAGTCGCATCTTCTTGGTTTTCATTTCTAGTTGAATGGTTTTTTGCTTACGTATGAAATATTCAGACACTGAAGTGAATGAGCTGAATGTTGAGGTGATGCCTTCTTGTATGAGCGTTTTATGCTCCTGTAGGCGCAAAGTCCGCAGTAAAATCCGTTGTCACAATTTTGAACTATCCTGTGTGCCCCAGAAAAGTTCTCATGTGAACCAGCATGCGTACGTGGTGCGACGCTGCCTTTCGTTCTTTTTGACGCGTTTCTCCTGAGATTTCAACGGAACTGCCCGGGATTAACACGCTCAAAAGAGCGAAAGGCAGCGAGATGACGTGGTACCTATGGAAATCTTGCTGGGGAACAAACGATATACCCGAAATAACTGCAACTTGGCACGCAGTCAAAAAAAAATCTCAGCCTTATCGCAAACGCTAAAAGCTATTTCCCATTCATTGCAAGCTCTGAAAAGTACGCTGATTCAATGCTCTGCCGCCACAAGCATTAGAACGCTCACTTAACACGGCAACATCGTCTGAACAGAAAAAATTCAGAATATCGATAAGTGGGGCACTTGCCGCGGCAGGTGCACGTTGCGTACGCCACCATCGATGTCACGGCGTCATTGGATGCGGATCAAACCGGTGAGTTTTCTTTGTTTACTCGTTGTTTACTGTCTTTTACTCTTGTTTTTTGTTACGGTGGGAAGCTTTGGGAGAAGCTAAAAGGATTGGTTGAGATTCTTTGGCAAAATCATTTGTGTCTGATGTAAACGGTATGCTTGGAGTAAAGAAGATGAAAACGCTACTTCTCGAATTATACGTGTTTTTTGACATCTACATCCGAATAATTGTCATGATGCGCTACCGCTACCTATAAAGTTAATGACAAGTAGTTCGTCAGGTATTCCGTGAATTGGAACGGATATTCACGACGCCTTTTGCATTTTCACGGGTTTTCGAACCTCTAACACCCATGTTTAGAAGCTATTTCAGAATGATAAGATAAAGTCATCCATGGGACGATCATACATATCCTGTTCGAAATTCGAATAGCTCCCAGAACATCATAAAAGACCAAAAAGTCGATTGGTAGCCTTCTGGCAATAAAAATCGCGCCTCTTTACATATGCCCCGTGAATATCTGAGAGGGGGGGGGGAGGAGTCCTAGGAAATCTACGGAAACGACTCAATGATGAGCAGTTAATATTCAGCTAACCATGAAATAGACTAGTGTAACAATGAGCAGAGTTTTGTTATTTTTCCCAATGAGGTTCGCGTCGAAAATCTGAATTCTGAAGCGAGTTTGATCTACTGTGTTAATTCACAGACTTAGTTATTGGTTTCCTAATTTTTTAAGATTCACGTTCATGTAATCTTTGTTGTGGACTGCTCTCGGTTCTCATGGGTAGTCTATTTCTTTCAAAAAATCTGAGCTTGTCAGCATGTGCACTTTCGGATTCGTGATTGCTACTCCAGACCAAACATTCCATATTTTATCTTCTCTCTTCCTCCCCCTCAATCGCGCGTTACCTTGGTATCGCCCACCAGGCATGCACTTCCACTTTGCAGATGCGCGGCGGTGGGTATCGAAGTGGACCGCGGGGTCGTGGTGCGTTTGTAGCCGGACCTTCTTTTCCTATGCGTCCGCCGCCGTTTGACGTCCACCTCGCCAATGATGTGTTTGTTCGAATTAACGAAAACAACGATACGCAACTTACGCAGGTTTGTTCTGCCTAATCCTTTCTCAATACTTTTCTCATTTTTAAAATGTCAGGTAATCTGTCTTCTTTGCTCTTGATTTTCGAGGTTTGACAGGTCATTAATTAGATTGCTTTTCACACGATTTTCTCTTTACTTCATTTACGTTCTTTGCCGTATGTGTATGCACAAAAGATTTTTGCAGGATGTGGTAGCGCGCGCAACTGCTCTCACTCCTAGCGATGCTGAAAGAGCCACGGTGGCTGCGTTGGTTTTTAAAGTCAAGACGGCTATCGACAAGGTGATAGCTACACCAGACTGCGTGCCCGGAGTGGTAAGTTTTCTGCAGTTTTCATATTTTCTCTTTTTTTACTCACTCCTCACTAAGCCAGTCTTGATGCCAAAGTTACTTGTACTTTTGCGTACCTATATGCAAGTCTCCAACTGAAATTTGCAGAAGTTTGAGGACTATCGTGAAGTCGGATCTTTCAAAAAGGATACGGCATTGACAGGACATACAGTTGCTGACATTGTTATTGTAATGCAGACGCTTCCAACGTGTGGGTATTCTTTATTTTGGAATACCAATAGATTTTTTATTTTATTTTATTTTATTTTATGTTGATATCTATGCTTCTATTAAGTTGAAGCCGTGGCTGCTTTGGGCAATAAACTTGCTGAGGAAGTGAGAGCGCAAAAGGAAGGTAATTACAATGCCGTTTCACTCTCTAATGAGGCTCATTTTTCTTTCATCCAGTGATTTCCTGCGTTTCTCGCGATTATGGGTGCCTTCTGGCAGCAGCAAATGCGCAAGTTCGCATTCTCATTACAACTCTACCCAGCAATGCACCAAATTTGGAGCAAGATCTTCATCGTGAGCATCTTTCACCAACAATTGTGTTCTTTGTGATGTTGTGTTATTCAGTACCCGAGCGCATAATGATGATTAACCACCATGCAATTCGCCATGTCATCTGGTTCGAGGAAGCTACCTTGCAATCCCCATTCAAGGTACAGTGATTCGGTCGCTCAGACTTAAAGCATTATCTGTACTGATTTGTATATTTTATCTTCATTATCTTGCCATAGATGCTTGTTCGTGTGCTCAAAGATATCCGTCGACGATACGTAGGCCTTCAGCCGTTGTCCGTATGGGTTATTGAGTACCTGGTGGGTCTCAATTTTTTTCCGTGTAATATTTGCCTTTTATATTCGTACTTTCGTATTTTCAGGCTCACTTTGCGGTGATGAATACCTCTAATCGACAGCCGCTTCCTCTTGGTCCAGCATTCCGTAGAGTATTTGAGGCGTTGTCAACAGGTATCTGCTCACCCTTTATTTCCTTTTCCCATACCTGATTTTATAACTTTGATTTACTTGCGAATTATTTTTCTCCTTGAAAAAGCAAATACAATCACAATAAAGTGTGGTAAGCGAAATGTGTAGGCTTCTTAGTTTTTTTAGATAGATCCAATCTGATGTTATTCTTGGATTTTGCTCAAAAATCTGGATTTATTATGTACAAATATGCTTTTTTGTTTTTTTTGTAACCATTAGAAAGTTCAGTCATGTTAACTACCCATTATGAAATTAGGCATTTTCCTCCCTGGAAGTCCTACGCTTTTTGATCCAACCGAACCTGGAATGCGCATTGCATATGATCTCTCTTTCGAAGATATGGTAAGTGCGGGTAACTTCGTTGCTTTTGCTTTCAATCATGAATAGTTTAGGACCTTGTATGTAGCACAGCTCAAACTTTGCTGCGAGTGATCTGTAATGGTGGGCATGCCGCTGTTTTGGGCACGGATTCTAGCAAAATTGGCATTGGTGAGTTTTCTGAAGGAACCTGTTCAATCATTTTTCCTGAGCTTAGTCCTATGCACCTAATTTCGCCAGTCCTTGTTTTGTCCCTTCAAGAGTGTTGGTTATAGATCTCAGCAAAGAAGTGTCAGTATGGAACGGTGTGGCAGTCTCTCCTCTAGAAGTTGCATATACGGAGGATTGCATGAAACCGAAATTTTGTGAAGCTGATGAAGCTTTGGAGGAAGTTGTAAAGGCTTGATTGATTTTGAATAAGTAGGTGTAACCTGTTCCTACAGTGGTTCAAAAGTTGTGGGGGATATTTGACATGAAGCGGCATATTCTGGTTGCGCGTGGTCCAGCAATCTGCGCAAGTAAATGAAAAAATCTTGATTTCGACATTTATCTCCGTTCGCGTACGTGATGTACAAGTCCTGCATCTGATCTTGTCTTTTTAACGACTGTTTGTGGTTGTATGTCATGCGCAAGCTGTGTTCTCAGCCAATACGCTTTGTTGTTATGTGCTAAGTGATTTGTTTTCATTATCTTTATTATCATAATCTATTCAATCTCATTGACTTAGTGAGTAGTGGGTCTTTATCGCAACGACTAGTGTATCATGAAATGCTAAGTAATCGCTTGAAAGTGTTCTGACATTGATTGAGAATCAATAAAAGATTGAACTATAGTTGAGATCCATTATCCGCATGAGGCCTTCGTGCTCGGCGTCAATGTTCCTCTGTCAGGAGAGCATTCATGATGTCGATACTTCATGGAAAGTTCGTACAGTCGATTTTCTGGATGGGCAGACCTTTTGCTGTCCTGAAAAGCATAAAAGCATACTCATTATATTAAGGAATTGTAGCGGGTGGTTTGATGGAGCACGAAGTTTGCCATTTTGTCTGAGGAATTTTGCGGGATCTGGGATATAAGAGCATTAGGAAGACCCTGAACAGTAGCATATGGCTAGAAAACGGCTAAAGAAGCTTTATGGGACAAAAGTGAGGAGTATAGTCTGCTGAGATGTGGAGTAAGAAAGACAGTCAAAAGTGCGTAGAGACCGGAATACTTCGAAAAGACCTAGTCTTAGTTGCAAGGCGTTTGTGTAGAACTTTTGAGAAGTGAAGATCTAAGGTTCTGGCCAGATAGACTCAGGTGCAAGCCCATACTGCACTCTGTGAACAGGAATGGAGGGGGGGGGGAGCGGTGTTGAAGCAGATTTGATTGCATAAAATTTCCACTATATCTTGCTTGGGAGATTTGCTTTAACTCTTACTGAAAAAGCAGCTCATATACTTCATCCGTGGCCGAAAAATCAAACTTCTCCAGTCCATACCGTACTCATTCTAGCGGTTCGCTTCTTCGGGTACGGTAAAAAAAGTGTGATCTGTGCAAATAAGAACTGAATTGCTCGGCTACATATGAATCACATTCGAGGGTGTGAGAATGTAAATAAAAACAAAGGGGTATTTGGTGAGAAAAGGCTGGAGCGCAGAAAAAAAATGGAGGGACTTTTACACGACAACCTACTGGAGCAAGGCAAAATGTTAGAGGGATGTGTGGGAGTACAGGTCGGGCTCAAAAAAGGAAGTATAATCAAGGTAAGTTTGGAAATGGAACATTATTCGTATAACAGTATAGATATTTGCGTTAAAATATGATTTTGTAATAACTTGGACTCACTTCTGTCACAGGTGCCTTCTCTTCGCTGTTTTTGACTTCGTCGTCTTCTTTTTCTTCGCTTGAATTTTTATCGGGCACATATGCTGTAGGTCGTCGTACTGGCATTTTTCGTTTGCGGATTCGACTAGAAATGTCATGGCTTCTTGATGGGTGGTCCTAAAAAAATTTTCTCCAAATATATAGTAAGATTAAATGTAGTTCGTACATAAGGAAGTACTAAATGTACGTTTCCATCAGTATGCTGTACTGACTCTATGGTTTCGGAATTCTAACGTACCTCCTTCCGCTTCTCTTCCTTCTGTCTATCTACAGCATCGCTTTCATCTTTTTGCATTTGCGAACCGGATCTCCATTGATCATCGTTGATTTCTTTAGAGGCTCCTGCATGACTGCTCACATCACCTGTAGTATGATTCATACAGGAATGTGTGAAATGCTTACATAAACTAACATCATTGATTCTAACACATTACATACTTTGATGCACTGTATTGTCAACGCTGTCGTGTAAAAATATGGCGATTAAACTAGAATTTTTGGATAGCATATAAATTGTGATGACGGCACTAAAGAGGAAGTTTTGCATGTTATTCTAAAAAAAGTAAAAGTAGTAGTGTGGAATTTATTGAGCAGCTTGGTTGAACACCACTTGAAAATGACTACAGAATTTTTTATAGTATACTATACTGGTTTTGGGGTCAAAAGTAGAGCTTCAGCGCTTCCTCAACGCCCTAGTCAAAGATGTTCGAATGCGTATACCGCAGCTTGCATTCCCACAGATTCGGTGTTGTCTTTTGGAACGCAAAATCCTGCTTTGAGATCTAGCAATGAAATATTGTAATAATAAGCAAGCCTGAAAAGCCAATATTAACATTTTTTGGAATTAAAACGCTAAGTAGTATCATCTATATAATTAAATGATCTTGCCCTAGTTAATAAGGAAGGCAGATTGCATGCTGTAAAAGCTGGAATTATGTGATTCTTTCAGCGGAGTCCAGATAATTGCCAGTTGATAAACTTTCTTCTTACTGCTAAAATGGAGTGGGAGATATATTTTCTATAAAACGCATAAATTCAGCTTTTACAGGAAGCAAGCTGGTAAAATTTGAAGCTTCTGGTGCTTTCCCTACTTATCGACTAGACAATCATCTAGTTGTACATACCACTGAAAATCTTCTAATAATTGGCTAAGGCTCTCATTTCTTTCTTTTTTGAATCATATTCCATGTAGGGTAATGCAAGATAGTAATTTATGAGCTGCTCGAGTTTTGAGTTTTGAGTTGAGTTTTTATTGATGTTGCCTATCTTGACTGAATTTTTATAAATTTTTGATGAGATCTTAAGCGCCCTCAAGTGATCAGACTGCTCTAATTTTTGCATTATGAGGCTTGGCAAGCAAAATTGGATGTAATCTTAGTTGGTGATAAGTACCGTAGAAATACAGTACGCTTTCAGCATACTGTGCAAAACACTGTTGAAGCAGATATATTTCCATAAATTCGATAAGGAGGACAAAAAGGTGACAAAGGTTAACGTGCTTATTAACGGATCAGGAACAGAATATGCTTGAGTGATGTAAAACCGTGAAAAGTTTGCACAGCATTAATAGTTCACACTTTTTTTCGTACTCTAATATTACTACCCTTTGATCCAACTGGCTCGGCGGGAGAAAGGCGGGCTTCATGACCTAATTAGGGCTAAGGTAATGATCAGAGAGCACGCGCGCGGGGGAGACTCAGGCTGCGTCGCGGGAGCGAGCGGCCCCAATTTGGGTCACAAAGCCCCGCCTTCCAGCCGCCAAGCCGGTCAAAAAGTTACACAGTACGTGCGCCAATTTCAATTTCAATTTCTATGCATATGGCGTAAGTTATGCGGCTATGCACTGCTTTTTGTCTAATCTTTAGCGGTATAAACTATTCTTGAAAAAAGAATGACTTCCAATAAGAGGAAAGTGATGCGAATACTAAGTAGTCTGATATCAAATCTTACAGTAACAACTGAATTCTAGTCTATCCAAAGTTCAACAAAGAACTGAACTCTTTTTGGTGAATTTTGAGACTGATTGCAATGAATAAAATCAATAACTCTTTTCTCACTCCCCAGCAAGTGGATGGGTGTTTTTCGTTGCTTTTACCGATGATAAATGGTTGAAACATTCGTGGAAAGAAAAAAGTGAACAGATGCTCAATGTAAAGAGGAAGTAAGGCAGCTGAGCTATCTAACTTTAGAAAATTTTGAGTTGAACAGGTGCTGGACAAATAGTCAGGTACTTCATCATATGAAGTGCAAAAAATAATCGAACTGATTGATGGCACTCTTAAGTACGACTACTAAAATTACAAACTATTGATCAGAATTTGTGCAAAGAAGAAATTAGTAACATCAATTTGTATGAGTTATAAGATTTGGACGAATTATCATTTTATCATTAGCGCAAAAAATTGAGAATGCTCTAGATTTTATAGCAAGTTTTCAAAGATAAGTATCAAAAGATTTTGTGAAATTTCGCTGTAAAATTCACAATCACATTTTTCACTGTATGGACAATTTTAAAGGCCTTATTCCGATACCAGTAATACCTTTGAAATATCAACCATGCAGTATCAGCGAAAGACAGGAATAACAAGAAAATGATGAAAAATTAGGATCAGCCAAGTTTCATTAAAGATTCTAACGCAATTGGGAAGGAAAGATTGAGAAACGAATGATAAAAAGAGCGGAATCATTCTATCAGGGACAAGTAGTTCCAAAATACATTTCGAAGCAACTGGTAAGGTAGTGTTCGGGATATGATTTCTAAAGTCAATAAAAATTGACAAATATTCCCTTATTAGATGACAAAAATTGTGACAAATCCCTGTGAATATCATCACTAAGAATAATTCCGCCGTAATTTTTTTGAAATATCAAACTGAATGCTATTTCTTCGAAATATGTCTTTGAAAAGCTCAATAGAAATTCCGCTTTAACATAAGTCTTTTCCTTTATATAGATGGAGTTTACTTATAAAGCTTCGGAGTCAAAAAATTCACAAAAACCCCAAATAGCTACTGATAAAGGCTGTCGATCAGAGCAATTTTCGTGAGTTGAGAAGGGCAGGTCACTAAATTGAGTCAAGACTAAAATTAGGATTTCATCACATCATTAAACCAAACACATTTTATCAAAATTGAATATTTTACGTCTTCTCATGAATTGAGCCAATTGTGCTGGATGCAGTAACAGAACTGAATATATTTATATATCTCTGAGCATTAGAAGATCAAAAAAAAATCTGAGAAAACGGAAAAAGTACAGTGCAAATGAAAAACGTAACGAACCACATTCTTGTCGATCTGAAGCGCTAGCCATGCTTGTGTATTCAAAACACGACGACGACGAAGTGCTGAAAACGTTGAGCGAGCACGAACGAGAGAGTTTGGTAGCGAAAGGAGAGAGAGTGATTCAATCGGACGCGTGAAATTGAAACAGAAGAAGAAATGTCACCTGCAAAGGGCACTGTATTGAAGGAAAAAGAGCAGCGAAGAGGTCAAAGACCAATCTAATTATAGAAACAGGGAACAGCATTGAATGTGAGAAGGAGAGATGGTTTTATGGGAGGTTTGTAGAGCAACACATGTGCAATTAATTCTGAGGAGGAATGAGGGAATGAGGTGAAAGATCGGAGACGGTCTTATATCTTTCGAGTTGCGATAAAATCTCTGAGTAATTCTGTAGGGTTTTTTTTATGCGGAAGGATTAGCAATCATCACATGAGTTCATCATGACACGGTTGTGAGTCATTGTATGAGCAAAAAAGTCCTTTGTAATTTCCCGGATTTGAAATGGGAATCAGGAAGTACTAGGCTCATAAGTCTTAAAATGTAAAAAAATTCGCTTTGGGAATGTTGGAAGAAATATACCAGTTTTATATCATGTTTTTTTAGTAACGTATGAAAAATGTTCCATCTTATATACAAAGTTGAATGTGTGTCTGTATGTATGTACGTATGTGCGGAATAGAAATTTTTATTTCTGAACCGATCCGGACCAAACTTGGCACACATACACTTCGGGGCGGGAAGCGTGTCTACTTTTCGTATCGCTCGATATCGAATTTATCGATTTTTTGCAAAATTTGAGCTACAGGGCTGGGAGTAGGCACAGGGGGGTAAATGAGCATGCTGATTACAAATATATTATTGACAGGCCCGGGCAGAGCCGGGTTTGCCAACTAGTTTTATATAAAATTAAGAAATTTTCAAAGAAGAAAGACGAAATGTTGCCTAAAAAATCGAACATATTTTTTCTTCCTATTGAATATATCCCAGTTCACTAAGAACCAAAACTAAAACCAAAGTATTAACCAAAGTATTGCTAAGTATTCAAATACTTTTTGGCAATTGAGATTTCAAATGATATTGACTTTTATTATTTATTAGCTTGTATTCTCGTAATACGCCAAAATAGTTCTTTTGCTCAAAACTTGCAAAAACGCACAATTTTTTTGGAGCTAAATTTGAAAAGAGAAAAAGCCACCATCATTAAATTGGTGCAAGGCTTGTGAACCAACCGAATACAGTGCTAGCAGCATTGAACAAAATTCGCTGAAAAAACTTGCAAATCCTCTTCCATCAGAAACATTAAAAAATGTAGTTTATGACCACCGGTATTATAAAATATCTGACTAAGATAAGTCAGAATATCAAAATAAAAATAAAAATAAAAAAATGGAAATAAGACTGAATCGAAAGTAACTTAATATGACGCAATAGAGTTCCGAAAAGTTTTTTGGGACAGGTGGGTGGCGACAAATTCCTTTTTATAAGCCACCAATATGACTCTATAACGCTTTTTATGGGGCCTTTACAACAGCTCTCGTCACCTTAAGTGAAACAAAATATCAAGTACATATAAGCACCTGTGTCAACTCGCCCACTATCCTGTTCCTGCTCCATTTTCAGTGTAGTTAATATGGGATTACTAAATAAACATGCGTAAGTGAGCCGGAAAAGAAGATTTGAGAAGTATTGGCCAGAGACAACGAACTTTGAGTGATTGTTATGAGTGAGAGCTTCCATCACACCTCAATGGATGGACAAGCTTTTTGCTGCACAGGTGTCAGTGCTATCGCTAGTACACAGCCGTTTTGAATTTCTGTTTGGGTCAAAATTTTGCTTTGTTACAAATCAAAGATGAAAGCGTCTAAGAGGCGCTCAGCTATATAATACAGTGCTGGCCATAATTATAAAGACACTCTTGGTGCGAAAGTTTTGTCAGTTTTTTCAACCCATTGGTAAACACGCTAGTATGAAGATACACAAACGCTTCAAAATGTATCCAATGCAGAATTTCTTCCACTTTCCAGCTGCTAAACTTCCGTTGTGTTTCGTTGAGAGAATGACGAGCTATTTACCGGAAATTGCAACCACATGTTTTCACCATGTCCAACTTTCACTAATTTCCAAAATTTTTGTATGAGACTTTCGGAGAAACCCTAATAACCAATACATAGGGCAGACCTTTTGCCAACAGAAGGACGCCTTGTCTTTTAGAATTTCTACGAAATTTGGGGGGAAATTAGCAGTATAATTCAATTTCATGAGTGCGCACTGACGTAACCTATGTTTCAAAATCTTCATAATTTGAAGCGAAAATCGCTCATTTACTTTGTAATGGTAGCGATAGTAATAATCGAGTGTTAAAACCTCAGTATTCTGTAGGTTTGACAGTGTTTGGTGCAATAACAGGTCATGAGATTTCCCAAAAAACAAGACTTTTAGAAAATTATTCAGCAAAAATCTGAAAATCATCTAAAAAAAGAAAAAAAATGCTTCTATTGGCAAAAGATTTGTTCTATCTGGTGATTATTAGAACTCCTCCTAAAACCTCATACAAAAATTTTGAAAATTAGTGAAAGTTGGACATGGTAAAAACGAATGGTTGTAATTTCCGGCAGATTTCTCGTCATTCTCTCAATGAAACACAACGGAAGTTTAGCTGCTGGAAAGAGGAAGAAAATCTGCATCGGATGCATCTTAGAATATTTGTTTAGCTCCATTCTAATGTGTTTGCCAATGGATTGAAAAAACTGACAAAACTTTTGCACCAAGAGTGTCTTTATAATTATGGCCAGCACTGTAGGTACGAAAATATAGGTGGAAGAGCATGATTTTGTGTTCGGTGTCGCATACGGTTAAACAGCTGACATTCTGCTCCTACTCTCTTTCGAAGACTTTCTAGCTAGGGAAAGTGCCATATTCACAAAACACTTTGTTGGGTTTTTGAATGTTTGTTGAACAAAATGTGAGTTTTTGAATCAAATACAGGTTGTCCCAAAAATGGACCAAACGTTTAGTCGTCAATAGCTCTTTTGTCGAGAAGCTTTCGCGTATCTTGGGCTATCATTTTGTACGACTGTTTTAGCTCAAATCTATAATACAAACCACGAATTTCTCTCCATTACTTTTTATCAAAACTCGAAAGAATCTTACGTTATTAAAAGCATAATTTGCCTTAGGAAATTGACCTAAAGACCTAAAAACCTTGCTGCTTCATTGACTAGCGTAGCCGACCTCATATGTCAGCTTTGAAGCCGTACCATAACTTCTAGTTCGAAAGTTAAGACAGGTATATCAGGACAGTGGTTTTCCAATAATTATTAAAAATCTAATTAAACCATCTGAACTGCTCTGAAAATTTATAATAAGGCGTTACTCAAATCAGCGGGTCCAGAAACGCGCCACAAAAGTTAAAAGTTTATCCGAAATGGCAGCGATTTGCCATGACTATCATGCTAGAAGTTTCTACCGTATCCCACAGTAAAGAAAATTGATGGGTGGGTCATTTTGCGTTGCAAATCTAGATTAGAGCCAGCTGCACATCATGCTACTACCTAAAGTTCCGCGAAAAGTGTTCAGACAAGACAATTATCAGGGAATATCCATTTTTTGGGACCCTTAGATGTATACAAGCTTCAAAAAAGTTTTTTTTCGTACTTTTCAAAGCTTATGTACAGATTTTACTACATGTATTTGATAAGTGAAAGAGTAAAATTTTTTTGTACAGTGTGAAGAATGTGTACATTTGCGTAAATTAGCTCATGAAATGTCCTCACCAAACTTGAGTGGACTGCAAATCCAAGAATACAGGATTACTTTCTTTTTCTGAACACCAAGCTTAAGACCAGAACCTTTTCAGTACTATAATATTTACGAAAAACCGTCTATTCAATCAAATTTCTCAACATGCGTGAAAATCATTCAAAACTGCCATTTCTTTCAATTTGCAACATTATCGGTTTATGAGGGCACATTAGCAGAAATGGCGCATCATGCACGGAACATCGCCGTAGTAATGTTACCATATGATTCATTAACATTCTTTTGAGCGCTAACATATTCAACAAAATCTATAATGTACCATGGTGATGATATCTCGTTACGTTTGCGTGATGATACATGAGAATTCTAATGCGTTGTGAACAAAGTTGTGTAAAGTACTGATATGACTAGTTCTTTTCACGAAATACGCGGATCATTGGAATTAGTCCTAATACACTACAATACTATACATTAGTACCAATACTTACTAATACATAATATTCCTTCCCATACTTCCTAATCTCATGTTCAGCTAGGTTTTTGCTCATGTCTCAACGTTTTCGATGTTCCCAGTACTAAGGAATTTTTAGACTCTGAGCGGAAAAACAATTTTGACCCACATCCTACAATTACCTTAAGTAGTTCCCACGAGGTGAGATGTACTTCTTGTACTGTACTAATTATTATTTAGTACTTCTTATACTGTACCAATTATTATTTATTTTATTTTATTTTACTTACTATGTTTGCTATTTACTACTTCCCATACTCATACGATAGTACACAGTATAAGAGACAACTACATATAATTAGCATACAAGAACATGTAGAGAATTCGAAGATGCAATGACATCAATTTTCAAAGACTTTCTCCCGACCCTGTATATACCCTCTGATCGACTAGCTTGGCGGCTGAAAGGCGGGGCTTCGTGACCTAATTAGGACTAGGTAGTGATCACAGAGCATGAGCGCGAAACCGCAGTCTGCGTCGCGGGCGCGAGCGGCCTCAACTAGGTCACAAGGCCCCTCCTTCCAGCCGCCAAGCCAGTTGAATCCAAAGGTTAGCTGTAGCAATGTTTACTGGTTTCAAAACTGCTATCCGTAGGGTGCTTCCAGCTTCTAAGTAGCCGCTTTTGCAGCCGAGCGCGAGCATGTGCGTTCACTCGCGCTTAAGCCTTTACGCCCGTACCTAATCCCCGTTGGGGATGGGAGGAAAGCTGGGAAGGGTCTCTTCACTTTCTCCAATTATATGTATTGTTCTTTATCTGTCTTATTAATGTTCTTATGCTTCCATAAGCGAGCATGATGGATGCGACACATCGCCATAAAAGCAGAGATTTTCACTGTTTTGTGTAATCCACTGGATTATGCTCAGGGGGTCAGCACTCGATTTCAAAGTCACTGATTTCCGTAAACTCGTTGAAAACAGTAAACTTGTACTAGGGATCTGTTATGGTCGTGCTAAACACGTTCGTAGTTCAAAAGAGTGAGGTCTTAAGTCATCGAAATTTCCAATGAACCACTGTTCGCGAGCTGGGTTTTATCGAAAACCTCACCCTTAACATTTCATTTACCCTATTGGAGACATGCCTAGCACTTCTATAACGAATCCTCTGTACAAGTTTACGGCGTCTAGTCGATTCGTCGAACGAACGCAGGGACTGCTCAAGCGTTGCGGACTACGCCCGCTGCGACTGAAATCTTGCGAGAGCACGACTTGCACAATACTGAATTTGTCCTGAAGCGAGCGTTTTACCTTGTTCGTTTTACCTTGCGGCGCATGCTCCGCAGTGATGTCCAGTCCGTGCGGTCGGTGAATCGACGATATATGACTTTGCAATATTCTGACATCCAATATGCTTACAAGGGGATGGTCAAAATTTGTCCGATTTTCCTTTTTTGCGCAATATCACTCTCCTAAACCTGCCTTCGCCTAAGTGGCAGTCTGTTGAACTGACCGTGGCACTTAGCCGGAAGTCTTTTGGCTGTTCAACTAACTATCCTAAAACACGGGGGAGTTGGCGGTCTTAGGTTCACCTTAGGAAATTCTTTTGAATGACTAATCTCAGGTCAACTGAGATGAATACGGGTTCACTATGGGCCATAGTCTAGGTGAAGCGTGGTGTCGCTCAATGCGCAAAGTCACTAGTTTGAAGACTTTATCAGCTAGTCTTTTTGTTTTGTTTGTCACTCCACACTTTCTTCAATGAACGAACTGAATAACAAAGGTCCGCAAGTGCACAGTCTGCTTTTCGTGTTATATCCATCTTTTCTTGTCTAAGGCGAGGTCTTCATTCTGCAAAGTTCTCGCCAGCCTCAATTCCGTATATTGAGCTCATCTTGGGCCTATCCTGGGTCTTATACCCAGTGCCGCCAAGGCTGCCAACGTCGTGATGTGAAAATTTCATTCTGCACATGCCCATACCATCGTAATATGTCGTTTTATACATTTTCTGGGCTAATTGAGCTGTTTTCATCTAGCAGAAGGTCCGATTAGTAGAAGTGGCCTTTCCAAATGTGTTTTTACACCATTTTGAAAAGCATAAAACTCTATTTCCAAATCTGATTTCATTATCTGCCGGGCATCTCTGCATACCGAGTTATGAATATTTATTTGGTGCAGATAATAAACGCACAATCTAAGTAAAATCAAATTTTGCGATTTTTCAAGCTCTCAAATAAAGCAGTGTTAAGTATGAATGTTTTTGAGAAAAGGCGATGTTCATATGGACTATGACAACCAACAATTTGGACAATTCTGAGGAAATTTGTCCTAATTACGCATTCAATTTCCCCACTCAAAAACGCTCATAACTCGACGTCCGAGGGCGCTGGCGTATAACGAATGCAGATTTGGAATTAACCTTCGATGCTCTTCATAGTGGTATCAAATTTATGTGAAAAGGCGTGTTGCTGGACGGATAACGGTCCCGTGCAGTTGGTAGTCAAGTTGCACTGGCATTCTTTTGTCACACAGAACTTTCGCTTTCCAGACAATAAGCTTGACAGTGTTTTTGGTTTGTCTGCAAATAAGAAGTTGAAATTAGAACTATCTGCGAAGAACTTACGAGATATGCGAACTTAGTCGAAGTGGCCGTTGAACGGTGTGAATCAGTACGCGTAGCATGAAATCTCAGATCTACGTGGTAGCATGTGAGACTCCCATAGAGAAAGTTGAGCCCCCCCCCCCCCCCCCAAAGAAAACGCAACGCTTTGGCAGTAAAATGACGCAAAAAACCATGATGCAAATGCGAATCTCTTTGCAATAAACGAATACACACCATGATGGGGCATTTAATCGCTATTGCATGTGCTGCAGTGCTCACATACGTGATATGTCAACATAGTCAAAATTGTGGGCGTCTAAATAAAGGGTTGACTAAGCTCGACCTCAACATTATATCTCTGACATTGATTAGCCACCTTGAATGAAAATGTCTTATCAGGAGGAAGGGACTAGTGCATGCTCTGCGCCTGTTCTTTGTAAACGATTAAGCATTGCGCATGAGTCGCTGAGTGTCAATGCGAAAATTATAAATTGGTGCAAGTACAATTAGTCCCATCTCTCGAATGGCCTTGGTTCATGAGGTAATCTTACATCTAACGCAAGTCATTTAATGGTGATGGCTCTTTTTGAAATCTTGATAATATCATCATTCCATTATTCATCGTTTTTCACAATGTAGGACAGATTCATTTTTTGAATATTTGAAGGTTTTTTAATACCATAATTACTATCCAAGTGTATGTATCATCCATATTTTGTTTTAATCAAAATTTCTTTCCCGTCAAATGCACATGCAAACTGCTTCGCATATATGCTCTTTAAGCAAAGTTCTCCAGATTTGAATGTGGCATGTTCAACTGTTTTCTGACTTGCTAGCTCTTATCAATCTTGACCAGTTCACTTAGACTTTGTTTAAAACTCTTGTGAGGTACTTGCTGAAAAAAGGGAGCTTTCGGGTACGGTCATCCTAGTATTTGGTTCTGAAGTAGACTTTTTACAAAGGCAAAAAAGGCAGCTGAGAGTCTTCCTGATCATTCATAAGTAGTACTTACAGTCTTTTTCAATCAGAATAGGCGAAACATTCCAAGGTGGACCAGCGCGTCCGCACCGCCACTGGCCAGCGAGACAGATTAGAACGAAGAGACGCAGACTGAATAGCGGCGCGAATCGTTGCGAGGCGGTCTCCCGCCAGTCCATTTTCCGCCTGAACTGAGTTAAAACTTACTTACTTAGGGTTCCTTTATACTACGCCGCAGGACGCAGCAGCCTGCCGCAGCACGCGACAGCACACAGAACGCCGCGTCCTGCGGCGTGCGCTGTTGCACGCAGTGAAAATATAAGGTCGCTCGCTGCGAAGGAACCTCTTGAAGAACACGAAGGGCAGCAAATACATATAGATGCACATCCATAAGCGGCTGTGCTGCCATGAGCGTTTTTCACTGCAACTTCAGCGGCGCACGCTGAAGTCGCAGTGAAAAACGCTCAAGTAAGCTCCATTCCTTGACGAGTACCGCTGACAGAATGACATTCGTTTCAACGCTGCCAAGGCTTTCTCGTAGTCAGAAGGTAAAGGTGAGAGGCAGTTGGTATTCTCGGCAGACTTTTACGATCCTCGAAACCGTCTGGATGTGGTCCACGCAGTTGAGCCCTTGCAAAATTCAGCTTCTTCTTGGGGTGTGCTTTATCCAGTGTCCTAAGTATGCAAGCGAGGATAATCTTCGTGAAAAGCTTGTATAACACACTCTGCAGGATATCGAAAGGTTGCACGGTGATTTTCCCGTGCGCCTTTGAACAGGAGGACGGTTCTTGAAGTTTTCTTCACGTAGGGATTTTTTTTTTGAAGATAAGATGTTAGATGCGACGCGACTCGTGTAGAGTTCTCTGGCTCGCGGGAGTTCGACAGAAAGAGGTTTGAAGGTCTGAAGCCGCGGAGGACTTTATAGTCTGAATCGCCGTGCGCACCTCAGCAGGTAGAATCCTGTACTTGTTGACGAGGAATTTTTCGCGATAGAGAAGAAGTCCGAGTCCCGTCTTCGTTCAATAGGCGGCCAGCCCCACATATTATTTACACTGGTTCTTCAATAATTCTTAGGATTTCGCTTTACTTCGACTGCTTCCAGTATCTTGGCTTGTCCGTATTTCCTGAGATCTTCCTGCAAAGCTGTTCTGCAACTGGCTTAACTATCATTCGCTCAAGTTGAGTTGCATTTGGATCTTGTTTCAAGGGTCTTCTTTCGAATGATTCCGTGGTGGTCTTCATAATGCGTTACAAGTTCCTTTCAAAGTAGTTGAGACGCACTTTTCGCAGGCTCGCAATCCTTTCAGGAGCCGGTCGTAGTCGTTCATTGGGTTTTGGGTCCTCCTCGATGGATCAGTCACAACTTGATGTGAGCTTTTCCAGCCTGTCACCATCATAAACAACTTTCCTTCTTGCGGTGCTATGGTACACCTTCTTTTTCCAGCTTTCGTCTAAATAATATGTTGGCTCGAAGGAGGAGGTGATCGGAGTCACTGCAGAAGGATGGAACTACTGAGACATGGAGCATGCACCACCTTCGGTTGGTGAGAATGTGGTCGATCTCCGCGTGAGTCGTTCCGTTGGGCGATTCCTATGTCCACCGGCAATGTTACTCCTCCACGAAGATGGAATTTCACGAGAAGTCATAGGCGAAAAGAACGAGCGAGATGCGTTTTTATTCCGGAGCCCATATCCAAAATTTCCGATCCTATATCCCTCTTCTAGTGGCATCCCAATTTTCGCGCTGAACAAGATTGTAGAAGGAGTTTTCATTGCGGACGACCTGCTCCGCATCTTCGTAGAAAGCATCTAGTCCTGATTTGTCAGCTGCTGATGTTGGGAAGCAGCAATTGATGATGCTGATGGTCTTCTGACGTCGAGATCATAGTAGTCGAAGGATAGCCAGTTAAGGAGATAGTTAAGGAGATTGGAGCAGCTTATGCGACGATGAGATGGAGGATAGATGGATGAACGACAAAACCAACGCCTCCAACGTTTCATGATGGGACTTTCTCACCACGTCTGATGAGGACCTCACTGCTCATCTACCACACGTTCTTCTTCCTGGACTTCGTTTCCTGCAAAGCTATGACGCTGTACTTCATGTGCTCGCAGTCTCAAGAAGATGTGGAGGTCGGCGTTTGTGGAGACTGTCCTGGCGTTGTAGGTGCAGAGCACGAGGCAATCTCCATGGCGTGTCGTCCGGGCAGACGTGTCGTTTTTGTCCAATCCAAAAGGCGCCCTGAGTACCCTGACATCGTTCTTGCTACCACCCGGCGCCGTATGCGACATGTGATGTGTGTGGGGGGTCTTCTTCCTCTTCTAGCTGGCGGATTCATAAAAGTTATTTTCAAAAGCAGACTTACTAGGCGTACTCGCAACTTGCGATCTCTAATCCAGGGTGTTGAGAAGGGACCATCTAGCGATCAGAATGCCAGATGGTGGAGGATTCTCCAGGCCTGATCTTAGCTGGAAATAAAAGAAAAAAAGGTTCTTTGGAATACTCCGTTTCGTTCCTTTCCTTAGACGGAGTAAAGGAGCTCAGAACTCTCCCCGGAACTCCTCAGTAAGGAAGGAGAGTTCATGAGTCCTGTGTATATTTTGAAACAGTTTTAAGACAAAAATTTTTTTTATAAAAATTGTTGTAAAAATTTGACAACCCACGTTTTTTATATACTCCGTCCCATATTATAATATACATTATACAACAATAGTAGCATAAGATATATTATTTGTGTTGATTATATACTATATAGTAGAGTAGTGACCGTATTGGTAGATGAAAGAATAAAATGAAACATGCTAGTGTTTTTGTAGTTGAATTTATTTATTATGACATAACTCATTTTGATGCACTACTTTACTGAATTGGTTGTTTATAGTAGATTTATATTTAAATAACTATATTGATTTAAAATATGTAATATTGATTAGGATTGAATGATTTTGTATAGTTATAGATTGGTGTATGACATGTATTAATTAACTATAATTTGTGTAGATTATGATGTAGAATGTGTAATAATTTTTTAATTTTATCATAATTGTAAAATTTGTATTTATATATTATAAAATTATTTTTATGTAAGCATTTGAAAATATTTGAGTAAATCATATTTTCATTGTATCCATTGCAAATAAGTAAATTTCGTAACTGTATTATTTTTTTGATAAAATCGTCAAGATAAGTGCAAGTACGGGCAATTCTTAAAGTTTCTGTGTAAATAATTGCGTTTTTAATGTGTTTGGATACACCAGAACTAATGTGTATGAATCTTTTTACTTGAAAAGGGAAACTATCAGTTTTGTTATACATTTTGGTTATGATTTTGTCATTAATGATTGTAATATGTAAGTCTAAATAATTACATTGCAAATTATCTATATGAGTAGTTTCCAAACTTAGTTTGTTATCATATATGTTTTTGATCATATTGTGAACTGTATGTTCTGTGCTATTGTGTATGATTAATAGATCATCCATATAACGAAATGCAAAAAGTTGTTTATGGTTATTTACTTTATTAATTATATATTTGTATTCATACCAAGATAGTGTCAAGTCTGCTAATAATGGACTAAAATTACCGCCCTGTGGCACACCTATTTTTTGTTTGAAAATGTATGTGCTAAATCTGCAAAAACTGTTATCAAGAATATAATCAATATAATACAATAAATCTGAAATGGTTTAGTTTCTGTAGTTAGATTTTGTGTTTATATTATCGGTGTAGTATATTTTGTTGAATCCATTATAAGATATATATTTTTTGTTTGCATTTTTAAAGCATAATTTGAGAAGTTCTTTGAGGTTGTTTTTTATTATGTTATGTGGTAGGTTAGTAAACATATTTGTAAAATCAGCTGAGTATAATTGTAAGTTATTCATGTTGATACTGGATAGTTTATCACTTATGTTAGTGTTGTCTATTGACCAATAATTATATGAATTTTGTTTTTTATATTTGATCGCTTGTACATAGTTTTTAAAATGTATTTTTATGTGTTGAAATACATATTGTAATTCCAAAGCAAGGGGTTTAATGCTACTGTGTGTAGCTCCAGTGATGAATCTGAATTTGGTAGGGTTTTTATGGAGTTTTGCTACACAGTATAGTAATGGTATGTTGTTAATATTTT